CTTATTCTTTGGCTTGGCAGAAATAGGCACACTCTTTGCCTTGGGGAGCAATCTCTCATTTGTATCTAGTCCAAGGATGCTTGTGAGTTTTCCTCTTTCATAGACAAAACTGGAGTTAGAAAGAAAGAAATTAGAAGCTCAAATGCGAAGGAGTGAAAGCCATAGAGCACTGCATATGAAAGCAAAAGTGCACTTAGCAATAGCAATAGCACTTAGATTTATACGGGTAGTCCTCAACTTACAACCACAATTGAGGCCAAAAATTATATTGTTAAGCGAGAAATTTGTTAAGCGAGTTTTGTGCCTGGAGACTAGATGGTCAACTCAACCCTTGCAAGACAGAGCTTCTTTGGGGTTTGGCCCTGGTGATATGCTATCTTTGACTCTGGATGTGACTATACCTCCAAGATGGAGCTGGTATGGAATTTGGGCTCCTCCTGGTGCTCCTCATGGCTATTGCTTGATGAGGTAGTAGTAGCTATGGTTGGGTGGTGGGGACTCTGCACAGATCTACATTGTGTGTTATTTGTGCCCTTTTCTATATCTTACCCTCCTGAGATCAGATACACCATTACCATTTATCCTTCTGGAGAGCACTGAAGACTTTTCCCCCAAACGCTAGGATATAGTGTGATCAAGATAAAATGAGATTGTATCAGGAAAGTGTGGCTGTAGCACCAAGCATTTTTTTAACCTGTTTTTTGTTTTATAATTGTATTTATTGTTTATTGATCATAAATCACTCAAAGTCAATTTTAAGATGGGCAGCTATACAAAGCTTTAAAAATAATCTAATATAAAATAAAATAACTAGTTGCACAGGTTTTCATACCTTTATTGAAGGTACATTAAAGCCAATCCTCCAAAGCTGCCATTAGAAAGAAAAGGCTCTGCAAATACAAATTGCTCTCTCCTCCAAATAAGAGGGAACGTCTTGATAACAGCCAAGTACACATTACATGTGTTCTTTGTTTATAAAAGTAAACACAGCAATGAAATCATTTGGCTTCAATTTAATGACTAGCCTAGAGCACTACCCCAAGGGGGGATATGGAAAGCAGCTCGTAAATATCAACAAACCATTCGTGGTTTTAGTTGCATCTCTTCGAATTAAATACTGGTTAACTATAATTTTTAATTGTTTGGCTCATAAAAAGATAACAAACTTTGGCAGCTTTGTGTACTACCTCAGTAAAAAGATGGTAGACATATTGGATTTGGTCTGCTAATATTAATATCTATAGATAGTCTAATATGCTAATCTGTTTTCAGCAAAAGGACTCCTGTTTTACATAGATGGTAAGAGGTTGGCACGGCTTAATTTTGTTAATAATTCATAAATTCTAACAAATATTCTTACCTGGATGAAATATTTTCTTTATGTGTATAAACATTGATAGAATAAAATTACCACTGAAAACCTACAAAGTACTGGGACAAAGTAGAAAATGTTACAATAAAACATTCACATAGAGAAAGATTTTTTTCTAAAGTGTTTTAGTTATGAGCTATTCAAGATTCTGTTAATAAAGACTATTTTGCCACTGTGATAGTAACTAAAAAGGTAGGATGCTTTGCCTATCATACCTCATGGAATCTAGAACACATTACACAATTCACGGACAGTCTACATTTTGTCTCTGCTGCAAATCCCTGCTAAAAATGACACTCTTTCTTTTTTTCAGGCAAATAAATCTGAGCATTGATACAATTTCTAACATAATGGAGTACCGATAGCTGCCTGAAGTAGTAGAAATCTGGTGTTAGCCATAATTTCTAAAAAGGAACAACTGAACTTGTAATTCATTTATAAGATTACTATATATAAAGAGAAAGGGAAGATGAATAATCCCAACTAAAATTGTATCTGCCCATTGAGAAAAAGGTTTTTTTTTAAAAAAAACTACATTAAAAGAAATTAATCTTCCCAGGCTCAAGAATGTGCAGTGTGGAAGCTTCTGGTGCTAGTATGGCTTCCAAAGCTTTATGAGTGCTTTCAGTTCCAATTTTTCTTTACTGGGACAATTTCAAATCTCACTAGGTAATTACACATGTATAAGAATAATCTCCAAAGAACCAGAAAAAAAAATGCAACAGTATATATTTGTGAATATTATTGAGATAGAGAGAGAGCCCAAGCACATTTACTTGAAACATTTCCCTTTGACATGTGCTTTCCAAAAAATTGCTTAAAATCCATACCTTAAAATATTTCTGATTGTTTGACAAATGCTTTACATTGACAATGAGTGCTGACTACACATTTTGAGTTTGATATTTGAAAGATTAGATTTAAGGATTAAAAACGTATTACACTGTGTTATATTGGCTGTGTGCAATTTTGACTAGATTTAGTGGACAAGCTTTTGATATTCAACACCTACCTACAACATTGAATATTTATGCAAAATTTCAAATTGATGGCTTTTTAATATTTGGAATTTCACCAAAATACTGAGCATACTGTTTTCTGTTTAAGAGCAAGAGTGGACAAAGGTTATATTGCAACTTGAGCAACAGCTGTCATTAGTGGGTAATGTGTAACTCATCTTGTATCTTTTATTAACATTCAACAAAAATAATTTACTGTTTAAGCTGGCCCTCAAGTGCACACACTATCTCTTCACGTAAATGCACATGCTCTCACACTTTTAAGTAATATAATAAAGTGAAATAAATTTTTAATTAAAGCATGGAACAGTAATAATTAAAGTACCTTACCAACTAATAAAATTTGATTTTGAGGAGGAAGTAAAGCTACCTGTCTACGACATATTAGAAAAAGGAAGTCTGACTTTTACTATGAGTTTCATAGTAGCAGAATCATAATCCTGTGTTACATACTTTACAAGCAAGCTCATACAAGAATTAGCAGTCTTTCAGATATTCTGGCCCCAATCCAGCATATTCCTGTTTATTAAGCAGTTATTTCATTTTAGTTTCCAAATAGTACAAGATGTAAATGTGTTGTCAGCAGCTTAGTAGTGCAAATAATCCCTCAGGTCTATTTATTTGGGAATTGGAACAGAAAATTTTTGTTCTATATTATGCTTTATAACTAGCCTCTATCACCCGCAGCCAACATGAATCCCTCATATAGGTAAGGAGCAGTTTTTTAAAATCATCACTCCATGTTCACAGAAGCGATTCTAGTTTGCCAACAGTGACCCAAAACACATTAGCGTATAATCTCTGTTTATAAAGATACTACTGAGAATACTCTTTTTCCGTTTCAGAGTTACTCCTCTAATATCAAAAGAGAGATGTCACCAAAAAATAACCAGCTTTCCTTTTTATCAATGGGAACTACTGTGGCACAAAATTCAAATACTTGAATGAACAAGCATACACAAAAGCAAGAGAATGGAAGTACTATATTCATTGAATCCTGGATACATTGACATGCTTTATTCAGTGTTCTTTTGGGGGCTCAAATACTTTTGTTGTTTTGTTCAAACAAAATAATAATTAGCTTTTATATCAATTACATATTTTTATTCTACGGACTCTCCACTATTTTATGACTATACATGTTGACTCAAATAATGGTTTCCTTATCAAGATTTCCAGGATTTTTAAAAAATAAGTGGCGGGAAACCAGATGTAGAATAATAATGAACACTGTTGAAATGGCAAACAATATAATACTGATTTTCAAGTTGGAATGTGCCCCCTAGTGGCAATTGAATATGTACTAAATTATTTTTATTTGATAAAAAATACACAATTGTATTGTAATTATTATGGGTTCTTTAGAAGAAATAAGACACAGTCAATCTTCCAACCAGAAATTCTGATTATGAAATCCATGCAAGATTAATCCAGGTGAGGTTACATGTTACCTTAATAATACATATTTTACTTCCTATATTTTCCATTTAGGTATGTTATTTAAATTCTATATGCTATATTAAATACTATCAGATTGTATTCTGTGATCTGTAAAGTAAAACAGCAATGGGATTAATGTTGCATTGATTTCAGTAAATTTATTCTACATATGACTAAGTCTGACCCAACTTCCAATAAAAAAAAACCTTATTTTAGCCACAGATGAAAAGCATTCAAAATAATTACAAGAAACAAGGAATTTGTTCTGTGTAAAACCTGCACGCATAAAAATAACTATAGGAAAAAAAAGAAATGTTATTTTCAAAAAAGAAATGTTATTTTCAAAAGCAAGAATGATCATATAGGGCATCTATGCTTTCACTGCTACTGCTTGGTACTATGTTCAATGACCATGCCAAACCTTGCGTAGATGCAGGAATAAAATTAAGAATTAAGAATATATGTGATTTTTTTCTCCATTCCCAAAATAATGGCGGATAATGTCAAAACTACAACATGACAACTTATCAGCATGTTTAACTAAACATGTATGCATTTCAGTGAACATACAGCAAGCACTACTGCATGCTTGCAAGAATCTCTGAACGAAGGCTGTTTCTGTGCATACTATTATTTTATCCCAAACTACAGGCAAAATCTAGGCACACAACTGGTTTTTTATGTTCTGCTGTGCTGCTGTATTAGATAATGAGACAAAGATTGATCAAAGTTGTCTGAAAAATATCAGCTGAGCGTAGAAGGTTGCATTTCATAGCGTTGTAATTTACAGCTTAAAATACAGAATGGATAACATCAAAAGTTCTGAATACTCAGTTAATATAGTTAATTGCTCAGTGTGTAATGTAGGATTTTTTTAAAATTTTAAAGTTTGTGTTGCAAACTTATTCTCTGAATACTACAATTGACATAAACATTAAGAATATAAAACAAAACAAAAATGGGACGTACTTCAATATAGTTTTAATCTACACATTTAAATTAATTTCTTTGGTAATTTGATAAACATTTTAATTTCAATCTTTCTCAAAGTGTCAATCAGCAAAAAAACCACCCCCATCCTAAATTGCAAACTTCCTGGTTATTTCAATACAATTAGATGTTATTTAAAGCAAACATTTAAAAGACTTCAGTGAATAATTTGAAAGATGCAGTGCATAGATACACTTAGATGGCTTTATATTGTACGACATAATAGCAATCCTAGGCACCAACTCTACCAGACAGAGGCTGGGTTTTCCCACTGAAGCATAGTGCAAAACATTGGCTTACTTACAAGTATCTGGCTAACTGAATTCTGAAATAATACTAGAACAAAATATTTAATTATTTGATAGTAATCAAAGAAAATATAAAATTTCTGGAATATTTATACTTTTCACAACAACTTATATTTCATCACCCAATTGATTTTAAATATTATCTACCACATACCTACAAAATACAACTCGCCCACCCCTTCAAATGTTCCACTCACTATTATACTCATCCCATTCACTTGTTTGAAAATGTAAGCAGGACTTTAATCTCACAAACTCAGTCATTGTAATATTCTGACAAACCCTTAATACAGACTCAAAACCAATGTTTTATGCTAAAGTTTGTCAACATGTTCCTTCCCAGGCAGAAAAGGGTACACAGTGAGTATTCAATAGGCATAACAATAGAAAATGGTAGAGATATGTAATCTTGTAGTAGTATGATAAAATGTCATTCTAGAACATCTAGAGAATGAATATTCAGCTTCGAAAAAGCAACATCCTCTCTGAACATGCCTGTCCCACAAGAGCTGCATATTGCTGTACAGTTTCTTCATCGCTTGGTCCTTTTCGATTTCTCTTATAGATCCTGTAAGGCATAACTGATCTCTTATAGAGAACCTGAACTTGATCAAGTTCTTTCATCATCCCTTCATCATCTGAAAAATGAAACAGAAATATTAACAAACTGCAATGGCTGAATGAAGAAGAACATTTTAGGGTTTTTGTGGTTTTTTAGATGACATCAAATTGTACATCAAATTGTAGAGCAATTTTATGTTTAGGAAGTGCCTCATATGGAAGAAACTTAAAATACTGGACTGTGAATTTATCTTGGTTTTCAGCTTCAAGCCTGATTTTGGTAAGCAGCCTGATTACAGCCTTATGGACTTCTTTGAATTAATTCTATTCAGGTTTTAAGTATAGGAAGCCATACACGTTACAAATATTTTATTTGTTCACCACTACTAATTTCAAGTATGCAAGCTATGTCTAATATAAATATCAGGAAGCAAATGGGATTTTGTAATGTAGCTGCTTAAAATAATAATATATTATTATAAGTTTAGAGTATATATGAAAAAATTGAATCATGAAAATATCTACAAAATATATAAAAATGCTTGACTAGACTTATTTGAAGGGGTCATATCCCATTACCCTGTGACATAAAACCCTCCCATTTGAAGTTAGTGTTATTTACTTTTCCTATAAAACCATAGGCTTGCATTTTTTATGTCAAGACATTATTTATTATTACTGAATAAAGTAATTATAGTATTGGTGCTATTTTACAATTGTTTATAGGATGGATTATAATGCAGAACAAAATTTAAATAGTTGTATAAGAGACTTCATTCAAGAAACAAACAATAACTGAAAACATTATGTTTTCCATTGTTAAATTTAACACTAAACATCTGTTACTAAGATATATTTACATATTTGATTAAGAAAAAAATAGATCTTTAAACAAATCATAACTAGGATTTTAAAAGCTTTGAAACTCATTTCACAATTTATCTGGAGACATTTTTATAAAATAGGCTGAATTGATGCAATATAATAAAACATGAATGGAAAGGCCTCCTACTTTTAAACCATGTTTTTATAAAACCACACAAATCAACAGAAAGTGGAATGCATCCAAACATTTGATACTCTCAAGTTATTGTACAAGTTTGTTATGGGAAACTGGCAGCCTATATCAGTAGAAAAAGTTTTGTCTCAAAACAATGCCAACTTTAGCCTCTTCATTATAGCAGTAGAATTTACAAAGACTTGAGACTACTTTCTGTTTGAGAATGTTTCCAAATAGCATCAGGATATGGATATCTATGTGCAAAGTACAGTACCCTTTAATCGCTACTAATTCATTTTGTTTCAAACATACAAAACATAAAGGAACACAAAGTTGCTGCTATTTTCTGGTATAAATGTTATTTTTATTTATTTATTAATGTTATAGTCAGTTAATATCAGTATAAATTGACTTATATGCTCCATAATCTTTAAGAAATGCTTTTTGATGCAGGGAATGTGCTCTCCCTCCTCCCTCTCTCTCCCTCGCCCCTCCCTCTCTCTGTAGTGTATGTTACAACCTCTAAGGAACAGACTATGTCAAATTATAATGGCACAAATTGTAATTGCACAAATTATAATTTCAATTCAAGTGTCTTAGTTATTTATGGATCATGTAAAAGGTAAAAACAAATATAAACCAATCACATGAAGAAAGCATTACTTATTTAAATTTATCCATGCAAGACTTTGACAGAAAACGCTTTTCTGAAAGTAATTATGTATCGCCTTAATACTTCATCACCAGAATTTATATGGCAAACAAAGACAGAAAGAAGTATATATATGGCTAGTAGCTCACATCAAGTGAGCAAGAAGATACTGTGAAGAACAGCAAGTATCTCGCTTGTGTTGGTTGATGGACTAATAGTAGATTCCCCCTTCTCCCTTCAATCTTTTAATCATAATTTTGTATTCTTATTGTTAAGATAGATATTTAGTCACAGCTGTGTTACTAGACCAAAGCCATGATCACAAAGCCATGATCTTATTCAGTAGCAAACGTGATGATTAGCTAGTTGCTTAATTATGGCATAATTAAGCAACCAGCTAATAATCACGCTTGCTACTGAATAAGAAACTATCTGAAAAGGGAGTCAGAACATTACCTGGAGAATTGCATGAGATTGCGTGCTATATCAAGCGGCATACTTTAAAATATTACTCATTTTTGTGTGTTTTTCATGAGTAAAATACACTTGACGTCCAATTCAAACATATACAAAAACTCAACATTACGTTGGAGCTCCGGTAATCACACAATAGGCACTGGCAGGCTATGTATGCCCACAGGATACTCTTTTTGAATTCTAGAACTGCAATGCAAAGTTCATTCAAGTTGAGACTGGCTGACTACACAAAGAGTATTATAACACAACCAGTTTCTTTATGATGTAATTTATTTGGGTTTAGTTAAAATATTGGATTAACTCCCCATTGTGGCTTTGCACTATGTTTGCACTAATAGCATAAACAGTTTGTTCCAGCAACCACAATTTAATAGATTATGTCAGCATTATGGGTAAATGCAGCCACTTTTTGAGTACAATACTATCACTTAATAAAGATCATACAGATAGTAGGTAAGATCACAAATAGTTCACACTAGAATGTCCTCAATGATCGTTTCTCTCTTCATTTTCTAAAAAAAAAAGTTTTATGCTGTTCTCAAAGTTATCCTTTGTAAAAGCTGCAATTATAATAGGTAATAGTTAAAATACTTATAGTAATATAAGTATTTTAATATAATATATACTAAGAGTTATAATAAACATTAAAAATAGAGATGTACAAAACATTGTGCACAAAACATTGTGTGCTTTAACTATTTAGTGCCAGTTCATTCTGTTCTCCTTGAAGTATTCCAGGAGTGATATGTGCATTTCTAAAAATAATTTGTGGTGTTCTCCATTCAAAACACCCAATGCAACATTTATTTGTTTGAACATGTATATCACTTACAGATAGTTCTAGCTTAACAACCAGTCACTTAATGACTGTATAAACTATACAACAGCCCCCCAAGGGTACTTAAAACCCAATTTTGGAGTTCCAATTTTGAAGTTCCTTTAATAACTGACTCACATTTATGGCCATTTGTACCATTCTGCAGTTATATGGTTGTGATTTATGGCATTTTTTGAAGGTTTCTGGAATTTACTTTTGTTTTCTGGCCAAAACAAACCACCCATTAGATAAAATTGATTTATTTAATGACTGCTGATTTCACTTAACCACTGCTGCAAGAAAAGTTGGTAAAATCAGGCACAGTCATGTGGTGACCTGACTAACATTTTCTGTTACTCAGGTTTATGCTAAACAAAGTACTGTGGGGAAACTAAAGGAAACATTGTTGTGTCATCCCAGGTACTAATGGGCCAAGTTTGAATTTCCATCCTTCGATCTACTCTGGCCCCCTCTGATGTTACATTTGGAATTTAATTATTAGATCTTGAACTTCCAGGAAAAGAACCAAATAAATATATGATAATAAAAAAACAGATAAATAGAAATCATGTAGAAGGCTTTGGAACATGTCTGCAGTCAGTAAATATACACATACACAAAAGTAATAACTTTAATCCAGAACTTTAACAATTTATTTCCTTTTTAAAAGACTGCTATCTAGCTCCAGTCTATACATTTCAGAATAAAAAGCTATCAGAAAGTACCAATCCTGTCCCTCAAGTTGTTAATGCTACCAATCCTTCTCACGCCTTTTTAATGTAGCTTTATGTATAAACTAATCTTAAAAAAGCAAATAAGAGTTCCTGTCATAGCAACAGTACTAGTTATTTAGTCAGTTTGAATTCAGCTATTGTTTTAATGCCAAGAGCCAGTCAAAAGAAAAATTCACTTTGTTCATTGTAACCCTTAAACAGAATGGCTTTAACTGAATATAACGGAATCTAAAAACCCTTTACAGCTGTTAAAGAATGACACATAAAAATTATAAATTGATTACTGTATAATTGATTCTGGCATTTCCAGAAAATAATACTGATCTGTCAGAATCAATTTTATAACTATATACCATGAAACATATATACAGCATACTATGCTACTTTTTAAATTCAAATAAATCATTTTTCATGACAGAAGTTTTGGGCAATTTCTATATTTTAATAATACAAATGTTAACATTCTCTGTCCAGGGGAAAAGTGTTAGAACAGAGAAAGAGTAAGGAATCAAAATTTGGTGGCACCAAAGCCTAACATTGAGACATCAGTAGATTCACTATCCTCATCTCTCTAATCTTGGAGAAGTTAAAGTCTAAGATTACCAAGCTGGGACAGTAAGGAATGGTTTCTCAAATTTGGGGAAACTTTGACACTACTGCATACAGAGCCAAAGGGTAGAAACAAAGAAATGCTTAACTATTTGGAAGAACCCCTTTGGATCAAGGTACTAAAGGATGTAACTCTTGAAGACTCTAATATTTGAACTTGCAGCAATTAAACCTCTGTCTGGAGGCAGTCAAATCCTGAAAAAATTTTGTTCCTTTATTCCAAACGTTACTCAAATTTGTTGCAAACTCTTGAGTCTTCTCTCAGCCTGACCAGTTTGTATATTACACTTGGCTGACTGAACTCTAAGCTATGCTGTTGACTGCTTTTAAGTAATCTTGGCTGATTTCTTATATGGGTTGTTGGTTCATGCCTTTTGCTATGTGGACTCGGATATTATGCTTTAGACCAGTGGTGGGATTCAAATTTTTTCACTACCAGCTCTGTGGGCGTGGCTTGGTGGGCGTGGCAGGGGAAGGATACTGTAAAATCTCCAGTCAGAGATGGTAATTGCTGATTCTCCAAACTACTCAAAATTTCCACTACCGGTTCTCTGGCACTGGTCAGAACCTGCTGAATACCACCTCTGCTTTAGACCCAGTATCACTGTTATAATGCAAGATATTGCTACTTGCAATAAGGGTCTACTTGTTCTAAGGGTCTTAAGAGATTTGGGTCCATTTTGAAAGGAGATTGGATGAAGAAAAGTATGCTTGCTGTTATGTTTTGTCACTTGCTGTTGATTGGTGACTTTATGGATATAAGCTCTCCAAGCTGTCCTGTCTATTGCTGCATTACACAATTCTTGCAAATACATTCCATGCAAGATTTTCCAGTATTCTTATATTCCATTCCAAGCACTATCTGTTTCTTTACATCCGTCTACCTTGTTCAGTATTTTATTTTTCACAGATACGTCAACCTGAACAAATTGAATTGAGTTGGCATCCTTCATTCTCAAGACACTATGGCATCGTGCTATGAAACCAGTAACTGCCACTTCATGTGTTGTTTCAATGCTGTATGCAAAGCTGGAGTGTCCTCTCCAGAGCACGAGGCCTGGGTAATTTAATATGGGGTATAAACTGTTATCCAAACAGCAGATTTCCCCCTCTCCACGTCACTGAAATAGTCTAATGGAACAGCAGAACCAATATGATTAGTTCCAGCTGCATCGCAGGAGTTACCAGAACATGATTGTACACAGTCACGAACTGCTTCTGGCACTCTGGCTCCGGATTTTGCCTTGAGGTTGACTCCTGAAGTCTTTTCCAATAATAGATATAGCCACAAGGCAGTGGAGTTTTGAAATCAGAGTTTCCCTGCTCCTAGAAGATGGTTCTACCCTTTATCTGCTGTTGGGGCATAAAGCCCTCTTCTGCGTTCAAAACTGTTGACCATCTTCTCCTGTAACCCTGGAAAGGGGCCCTTACGATGTGCTACCAGCTGCGCCAGCTGGACCAAGGTTTTTTAAGGAGGTATTACTCCTCTGGCCCTCCTCCTCACTCCAGGACGCCCAGCTTGGCTCCATTTGCAGTGTTCATTATCTTCCAACTGTCACTTTCCGACCATTCCACTCTACCAACTCTTGGCCTATCAGTTTCTTTACCTTTCTGTTTCTTCAACAAATTTCAGCCTCACAGTTAGTTTATCAAGCTTCTCTCTTTCTTGCCTTTCCCTCTACATACTTTTCCACTTCCACATACCAATTTCTACAATCCAAATTCTTCAAAAACCTCTCTGCACAACACTTCGGAGTATCATCTACAAACACATGCAGCCACTTTTACCATCATTAAAACAAACAAACAAACCGAACGATGTATCCAAAATATGATAGTTTTTGTTTCATTATCTTTGCTTCCAATAAGTGTTAAGTCTTGATTCCCTATAACACATAATCCCTTCTAATTAAATATGGTTGGAAGTAAAGGATAGTGGATAAATATGGATATGTAACAAGTACTACATTATTGGATATAGTTTCTGGATAGCAGGTTATCAGACTCATGACAAGTCAGCAAGGAGCAAAATATAGAGCACTGCTGAGAAACCCATCCTGCACAATCAGTACTGTATATGAAAACACAATATAGATAGTTCTAGCACCACTTTTGTGTAATATGTATTTAAACAACCCCTTTAGGCATACACTTTAGAAGCTTTAGGCTGAAGTCAGTTCTCTATCATCCCTGTGGAATATATAGCATTGTAACATTGAAATGGTATTTAGACTTTCCACATAGTTTGTTTTCTAAGAAATGATTTTAGACTTCATCCTATGAACACAATAAATGTTTTTCTAACACTAATTCCAATCCCCCCCTTCTAACTGATGGGAAATCTTACAAAATTATAATTATCATAAACATGCTTTTATTTATTTGGAGAAGAATTATTTATTAGCAAACATTAACATGTTTCTGCTTACATAATGAACATTCTTTGTTCAGATAAAAATGTTCTCTTTTTTAATATCACAGCATAGCTAGAATTATTGAGCCATCAGTGATTCATCTACTTATTAGGGTTTCCTTGCATATACTAAAATTCAGTTGACAAATTTGGATACAGCTCATTAGCACTATCTGTACTATTTAAACATATTTTATGATCAAGAATCATGTTGGACAGTGGACTTCAAATGCCTTCAAGTGTTTAAAAAGTTAATTAACAACAGATGCAAGATCTAAAATGTAAGAAGCTAAAGACGTTCTGGGAATAAATCAACACATTTTCTCTCTTCTGTAACTCACTGAACAAATAGCCTTCTACGTTTTGCTAAGAACTATGAGAAAATAAGTCTGTTCCGCAACTTTTAAAGTGTTGCTTTAAATCTATCCATCACAGACACAGTATCAACGTATTGTTTATTATTATTTTTATTAAAAATACATTTATTTACAATAAATTCTTAAGTAGTTTGGGATATAAGCTTGGCTCCTTAGAGGGTGTATAAAATTTTGTTGTTATATCATTATATATGAACATATGTGTTTTATTATTTGGCAATAATTACAGTAACAATCATACAGCATATACTGTCTTTTCAATGTACAACTGTAATTTGTTTCTTTATAAAAGTGAAGCAAATAAAATAATGCTAGAAAATCATAACCAATCTTTTATAAGCATATAGAACTGTTTGTTCTATAGATATTATTCCTGCATTATGGTCATGTCTGCTACACAATCACATAAGTTTTAAAAGGTTAAATACCACTATATGATAATTCTTTTCATCTTAAAAATCTGAGGAACATTGCACAGACTGTTCAGTACTAGCTGGGACTGCAAAATTGTTTTACTTATTTGGCCTCTATGCATATATGTCTTACAATTTGGAAAGTAAAAAAGCAAAATACAATTGGTACCAATTGGCTACATTTGTGTTAAAATAACTGGTGCTTAAATCCATCTAGTGAGGACAATATTTGCTTTGTGTTTTGGAGAGAATTTTTTTCATTTTTTCCTCAGCACATTAAAAGGCATTTTAATACTAGAACATGGTAGTGTACTTGAACTGTTTATACATGAAATATACTATCTGAAGTTGCATGATACTTCTAAAAATTATAAGGCAGTAGAACTCTCTAAAATGTATTTTGAGATGGTTGGTTTTAGGTTGATAGAAGGAGCCTATTATTCAACATGAACTTAAGCAAGTTATCATATTTATCCTTCATTTTTAAAAAGTTTAATTAAAGAAAGAGAGGGGAGAGAGAGAGAGAGAGAACAGACAGACCAACAGATAGCCAGACCTTGGCTTCACTCACTAGCTCTTATGTCCACAAAATTTCCAATCTGAAAAAGTCAGAAGATTCCTGATATCCATTTAAAACAATAATTTTCATCACTAACTGCTATACATCCATAAAATAAAGTTTTGGCATCATAGATTATGATATGGTAAGTCTGAAGAAATGATCACCACTAAATGAATATTGCTAAAGAATTATTCCAAAGGTACCTAACAAGTATCACTATTAGAATAAATAATATTTTTATCTCACCAGATTCAGTGAAACATATGTTAGTTCTGAAACAAAGTAAGTTGGTGGTCATTTACAGCTATTGGTAATAGGAAAATATGAACTCTATCTCTTTTACATTGCTCAATTCTGGCAACTGTTTTATGAATTGGGTGGTCTATCAAACTCTGTTATGAACTCAATTGCATAACACACCTTGTATAGCAAACCATAGCATGTGAAACACAGCATACCACTGTCGGTCTAACTCAATATTCATTAAATTGTAATTAAAAGCTTTTTTTAACTGATAACTATAAAGGAGGTATTCTGCAAGAGACAAGCTCTGGAATGATGAATGTTTCCTTCATGTCAGTAGCTGCACAAACCTTGATGACTCTCATTCACAGTAGGTATTATGTTTTAATTTCCTTAAGCCACAGGACCCAAGCTTGAATTCACATTGTGTCTGGACATGTATTCAGTATGAATACAGTAAGAAGCAGACTTTTATATTTATTATTTTGAAGTGGAATTGGTACAAATGTTCAATTCCTTAAGCTAAGATCACTTTTGTTATTTGGGTATTAGTTCCTTCATCTTAGCAATCTTTTCTAGACCACCTATTCAAAGCAGCATTTTGTCTCTCTCATTGTCAGATGGTTTTGTTTGAATTCAATTTATAATGTAGTGTAATCTTCTTGTTACATGCAATGCATATTTTGGCATTGTTTTAATCTCAGAATCAATTCAGGCTTTACAGATCAGCCAAAGTCAGAAAGCTCCTCATTACATGCTGTACAGTTCAAGGAAAACAGCATGATAAACAACTCTGACCAACTATAAATTGATGTACTTTCTTCTGGATAAAGTATTCAGACACAAATAAGCACTTTCATGTTTATATAACAAAACAATGCCAGGAAAAGCCTCAAATTTTAAAGAAGCATAAAAATATTGTGTAGGACACAAATAGGACCTTTCAAAGAGAAGCTTATTTTTCTTCTTCTATACTACCATATAATGTGATACTATGCCCTAATTCATACGTTCCTCGGGAACAGATAGTGAAATTGTGCAATAGTGGAAAGCATAAATTCTTCCCATTTCCTCATATTACATCTTACAAATATTTTACCTTTACACAAAATGTCACATTGCACAGGATACAAATATTTCACAGGGCATTCCTATAGAAGGGGTTTGTTCACTGAGGCTATATACACGTATATACATGTATGCGTGTTTCTATTACTCCATTACCATCATGTTATTTCAGCACTTGACATTGGTGAATATATGAAATGGACCACAGGATTTTTTCTTTGGTAACATAATAGCTTGTGAAAAATTTTAAAGGAATAGAGTCATCTTATACATTAACAGACACTCAGGTGTCTGCAATAGATCCAATGAACTCAAATAGGCACCTACCTATTTTTGAGTCTTGATTGAGGCGAGAATATTTTGACTGCTCAAGAGAAGGTAGACATTGTTCAAGGGGTATCCAAGTATATGTCTCTGGACATAGTAAATCAGAAGGTCTATACTGTCCCTGGAAAGTAAAGAAAACAATAGCATGCCATTTATCAAATTCAAATATCTCTTTGCCCAAAATGTCTCCTGCCTAGTATAGTTATGAAAACTTAATAAAACAATCCTGCGTAGACAAATGTAAATTTCTCTAACTATGTAGCTTTTCTGCTAAAATGTCCAACTTTGTCCAATCTAAAAAATAAACTTTCTTTGTTCTTGGATATGAAAGAGCCAAGAATATCCCCAGGAAATTTGAAAACAATTTAGAAGAATCAATATGCATTGGAAAGAAGATAAAATGAACATGTCTATATGAACACTGGAGGATCTCCTTATCTTTTATTGTATCTTTTTTTTTAAAAAAAAAAAGGTACTTCAGTGGGAACATTAATTACAATTATCTTAATTTAAGTAGAGGCTGCTGTAAACAAAGAGATATTGCACATTAAGAACAATTTATCTTACAGTTTATTGTTTTGAGAAGATAAAGCAGAATTAACTAATACTAACAAAAATACACATCACCTACAAGTCCCAGAATTTCTGTTAAGTTGGCCACATTGGCTGGGAATTTTAGCATTTGCAATCCAAACACAACTGGTGGGTACAAATGTGGAGAATAAACTATCAAGTCTGTTCCTTTACATCACCTGTCCTAACCAAATGGAAACTAGTTCTAGCTGAAAGGCTTAAAAACAAGCAAACAAAAAATTAGGATATGTAGATAAAATGAAAATAGCGATCCTTATATCACCATATACTTCAACCACATAGTCATCTACAAGATGAGTAAAGATAATGAAGTTAATAGGGCTGGGCACTGGTTTGGATTCAAAGGTAAAAGGGTGTTTTAGAGTGCACAGAGGTCAGGCTTAGCACCTGTAAGCAAATTCTTAAACCAAACTAGTCTTTTCTGAAGATGGTGCTGGACAGTGGAGGACAGCCATGCGATCCTAGGAAAAGATGCAGCTTCTTTAAAAGGAGAGATGCTACATCTGGACTACTACTTGCTCCAAAACCACTCTGTCCCTTCAAAACAAAAGGCCAAACTTCTCTAGAAACCAGCATTTTCACTGATACATAAGCTGTCAATGAAAGAAAATCTTTAAGCAGTTCTGTAAAATTAAATCTTTTCTGACACATCATAGATATTGCCACTTTAATCGAAATGAGGTTAGTAGCAGCTTTTCTGTCTTTAACACATTATATTGTATTAAAAAGCATTAGCTATTCCATGTAGCAGATGAAGCAAGGTGAAGTTCATGAAAACTTATGCCTTTTAATAAAATGTGTTAGTTAGAAAAGAAGCTTCTGCTCCTGATTACTTTTTTCTACCAGGATAGCTCTCTTTCTACAATGCCACCTCAATGTTAAACATTTGGAGCACTTTTCTTTGTAAAAGATAAAATCTGAAATAGCCCATATTTTACCAATCTAAATCCAGAGGAGAAAATCTCCAAGCCAAATAAATATCTTCAGGATAATCATTTATACAGAATCATGAAAAAAATATTTTGAAGAAAATCAAACTGTCCTTAAAAATGCCAAATTTTAGGTGATGTGATTGGTCTGTGTTTATTGGTCTTGGAGTTTGCTGTGTTCTGCTTGATTGGTGTTTCTAATATCTTCTGTCTGTTTTTTGGCTCTTTTTGTATCTTGATTGGCTGGCAACATTGTGTTACTTTATTGGAGGCCTTTAGTGCAGCTTGGCTCCAGGTAAGTGAACGGCTATCATTAGTTAGGAAGCTAGGTTTCATCTGGGTGCCTGGTTGGGGTGTGTTTGAGCTGGAGGTATCAGGGGGGATCTGTCTGTGCCCAGGTGTTTGCCTGGCTTGTGGTGTGGAGATTTGTTTGTTTGTGAGTGCAGGCTTCCAAATGATTGCAATATATATGTTTTCTTAAGTTTTCGCGGGTACTTACATGTATGGCATTCAGCTTTGTTCGGGTATTTACACATACATATGTGGATGCATATTTACACATATATATGTGGATACATATGTGGATACATACATATTCGGGTACATACACATACATATGTGGATCTTTGGTTATTCGGGTTTTCTCGGCTAGATACTTCCAATCTTTCGCGGGAGAAAACCCGAATAACCAAAGATCCACATACAAATACCCGCGAGAACCTCAGAAAACAAACAAATAAATAAATAAATATATCTCCTTTCAGCACAGAAGATTTCTACTTTAGGCACAGACAAATCTAACAGATACTGAAAGCTAGGCAAATCAAGCAAGCAAACTTAAGCGCAACAAGAACTAAACGTGGAATAAATATCAACCTCATTATTATATAGCAAACCAGAGATAACTCTTATTGACAGGTAATCCTTGACTTATGACTAGTCACTTAATGAGTGTTCAGAGTTACAATGAACTTTTTAAAAAGCTTAAAACGCATCCTTGACGTTATGTCTGCCACCTCAACGCTGTCACACAATTGCATTTCAGGCATTTGGCAACCAACCTTTATTTATGATCAGTTGCAGTTCTTCAGTTATGTAACCATAAATTGCAACTGTTTTGCCATTTTCTGGCAGGAAATGCCCATTGGATATATTTGTTTAATAATCACAATTCACTTACAAAAGCAGCGACTTACTTTACAACCATTGTAAAAAGAGTTGCAGAACTGAGTCTGGCCATGTGATGGCTCAACTAACTGACTACAATGACTTGTGACAAAAATACCAGGCTTCACTGAAGTCATAAATCAAGTATTATCTGTATTTTATAATAGTTTGGCCCTGGAAGAATAGCTATCTTTACAGCAGATGCAAACAAATATTAAGCAATGACCTAACATATGGTTTGAATTCCATATCCACATATCTAGTGGTGAAGAAAAGAAACAAGAAAAAGAATTGAACGAAACTATCACCTGCCAATCATTATATTTTATATTAAGATTTTCATATTAAGAACATGTGGACTTATCATGTGAAATATTTTAAGACCTATTAAACTGTTAATTTTCTCAAAGAAAAATATCAGTATCATATTTATTAAGTTTTTATCTGATCAATGAAAACTTCACTTTCTACATTTTAGGAATTTTTTCCAGGTGGTTTCACAATGAAGGCTAACATTTAAACAATGTTTATACTATTAAAAGAACAAAATATTTTCATAATCCCCACAAAATCATAATGTAGGAAAATTTTCATTCATGCTTTTGATTTAACCATAGCTCCTTGTTACATCCAGCTATGTTGTAATAATGTAGCTTATGCAGCTGGTTTATTTCAACAAACCATAGTTAGTAAAAATTGGTTTGCCTGACATTCAGCAACAATGAACTGTAATTCATATAGGTATTAAACCCCCTTCTCTGAACCAAGTTGGAGAAACAGGCTGGGGTAGAAGTCTTGCTAACCACAGCTCAGCCACATAATCTCATGATATAAAATAAAGTCATGTTACACTGAAGACCCATTGCCACGGTTTCAATATGTGATGACAATAATAAAACTCCTCTTTATGTGCCACTTGGTCCATATGTGTTCATTTAGAGGAAATCATAGTGGTGCACCAAATCACAATCCTGCTTTTGGCAGACGGAACAGCTTATCATGTGGTCAAGCAGTGGAATGGAAACAGAACACCATGTCTCCACAATTATTTGGCATAATATGTGCATCTTACTGTTTATGAGATATCCTCTGACTATATAATTGCCTCTTTCTAAATGGTTCTTTTGAAATATGCAAAACATTTGCATTATTTTTTGTTTTATCCCACACATTCCACTATGAGGGGACAAAGACAAAATATTCCGGATGAAGAGGGAGAATATCTCACACAGATTTATTCTAGAGGCAAATTTCAGCTATAGTAATTATTCTGACTCTTCTTTATTTCTCTTTTTTAGTCTTCAGCCAAAAAGACATTTAACCAACTTTTCTTGTCACTAGTTTCTTCTTGTAAAAGATAGACTGAAAGAAACGAAAATCTTACATATGACATTCATTCAGGCATGGCTGGATATTTAATTGGAAACTTCTGGAGGAAAACTTGGCAGTTCTACCTTAAGGAATCTTTAATTGAAGTATTCTCACTTTGCCAGCCTTTGCATTCTAGTTCTTGCACTAAAAGCATCTCTGGACTTCTGTTCCAAGGCAAGGCCAAAGATTTTAATGACACTTAAGTCTGAAGATTTACTTTTAAAATATTTTTAGAAAATCTAAGGGATTTGGTGAGTATTTGAGATGAGGGTATGTTAGTGGGGTTTGTTTTTACAGACTAAGCCAAATATGAAAAATAAAAGCTCCAGAGAAAGATAATAGTTACAAAAAAACAAAGAAGGTCAAGTACCAGTAGCACAGAAGAAACAGAGAAGATTAAACACACATTTAATTCTTTTATCAGGTACAGTGTACATCTGTGTTCTATTTTTCCACAATAAACCCATTGATCTTTTATTAAAAGTGAATTAAGGCCTTCATCTCAGTTTCCAGACAGCTGCTTTAAAAAGGAATTTTAACATTATATAAACAAAATACCCTAAAATTATCAGCAGCAATGTATTAAGGCAAAAGCATGAGAAAATGTGAGCCAATCCAAAGATTTATTAAATTCAGCCTTTTCCTTGAAAGAGGACACCAGCAGAATCCCATCAGCCCAATACAACAGCAGACCCTTGCTCCCTGATTTAATTACATAAACAGAGATATGCATTATCTACCCCAAGAGAGGTCTTTGCAACTAAGTTCAGCTATTCTGTTTTCACAAACTCTGTTTAGATAGCATTACACAAAATAAAGCAGTGTTCAAGTAGGAAGGGAAAAAAACCCAACTATTTTGGGTTTATCTTGGCTGTTACATGATCAAGGTTCCAGAGTACAGGGAGAGTTTGCATGCATTGGATCTTCTTTGTGGATGCCCATACCTTACACAGGGATGCTAGGAAACAATGCTAGGCAGTCTTAAGGACAAGGCTCAGTACGACTCTGCAGCCTCATTTTACGTATAATTTATTTTCACATGTCAAAGGGCAAAAGAGCT